GCCAATGTGAAAGAAACAAATGAAAAGAGAGAAAAATGGTCAAGTTTGGGTCTGTACCTAGATTGCTTAAACAATTATGTCCTTAGGGATGTTTCAACACCTAATGCCCTAAGACCATCTGGTTTGGGAGTCATTGACTGAAAGTTCACTACATAAGTGGTTAAGGTGGCCTAGGTTACTTGAACAATTAGGTCCTTAGGGGTGTTTTAAAACCTAATGCCCTAAAACCGTCTGGTTTGGGACTCATTGGCTGAAAGTTCGTTACAAGAGTGATTTAGAAAGTTTAATAGACCTGAGCATTGCACAGTACCCTTTTGAAAAGGAAAAAAAAAAAAGGAGTTGAAAAAAATTTGAGTGATGAATGAAATAAATGTATACCTATAGAAAATTAGGAAAAATACCTTGGGGATCAGAATTTGAAATGTTTAGTTGTGAATTGAGGGATAACATGAATTAGATATGAGTATGGACAGTAATCCACATGTTTAAAATTGTGAGTTCACTATAAAAAGGATTTTGGGGATTGAGATTGTTGAATAAATGATTAAACTAACATGTGGGGACCATGGTTACTAAATTGAGATTGAAGGTTTGAAATTTTTCCTGATTAATATAACTTGTTATACTTGTTGTAATTGACTGACTGATGTATTGTTGGGACATTATGATATGAAAATAGGTTTAAATGAGCTTATAGTGCTAATTGAGACACTGAATTGAAGTTTGTGGGTATCTTCACTAGAAACCTTCACGAGACTACAACTCGTCCACTAGGGGTAACCTAGGGGTTTAAAGGCTTGTTGCATAGGCTAAATGCAACCGTGATTCCCACGAAAGAGGCTTTTTAGTCCTGTATTGCTAAGGGACTAGCAATATGTAAGTTTGGGGGTGTGATGAGTGCTAAATATTGCATATTTGAGCCCCTAAATATACGTATGTTAAAACCTAAAGTGATACTTCTATCCAGTTTTAGACTGATTTATGTTTACTTTGTGTTTGTAGGCACTTTCCCAAAGAACAAGTTAAAATCATGATTTTATAATGAAAAGACTGATAATGAAGTTTACCGCGTCGTTGCTGGTCATTCAAAGCAAGCCGAGAGCTTAAATAGTGAAGTTTGGAAAAAGTTAGAATCTAAAGCTCGAGCCCAAGCATTGAAGCTCGAGCCTTGCACCTTCAAGCTCAAGCCTGAATAAAGGGTGCTCAAGCCTGACCATAGGGTGCTCGAGCCTTGACCCTTAAGCTAGAGCACAAGGCGTCAGAATTTGAAGGAATTGATTTCCAAGCTCCCAGACCTCGTGCCAGGCCTCAGGGATCGAGCACTAACACCTAAAGCTCAAGCCCAACACCTTGGGATCGAGCACCATGAAGAGAGGATCGAACACCATTAATAAAAAGATATTCCGGACAAATTTTGCTCCCAAAGCTCAAGCCCAAGCTTTAAGGCTTGAGCACGAATCAAAAAGTTTGAGCACCAACACTTCGGGTTCGAGCATGGCTGAAAACTCTGAATCCACTTTAGTATTTTGGCCATAATTTTTGACTTGGAACTCCAAATTGAGCAAACTCAGTAGCTCTGGAAAGAAGACTTGAAACCCGACGTTTTTGTCTCTAATATCCATCTCCAAATTCATACTCTAAATGGGTCAAAATTGCGTTACAAAGTCGGAACAAATTGCTGGCAGGTGATGCTCGAGCCTGAACCCAAAAGCTCGAGCCTGGGACTCTAGAGCTCGAGCCTGGACGTCCTGGAAGTAAAAAATACATGCGGGAATTACCGAAAATCATCTTTCTTTATTTCCTTATGGGCCAATTGTTACCAAAAGATGTGAAACCAATCCAAAGGGGATTGGGACTTGTTCTCTACTATAAAAGAAGAGGAGAAGGCCACAAAAAATCATCTCTCTTCCATCAAACTCATTATTCTCTCTCACGACGGATTTTAGGGTTTTGAAGGGAAGTCCCCAAGAGAGAAGTGGAGACCTTGACGATGAAGACTACACCAACACAGATGATATCTAGCGTTGTCATGAGTGGCTAATTCCTCTCTTAGGGCATTGATGTAACTCGATCCGATTATTATGATTTGATTGTTTATACTTTGGGAATTTAATAGTTAATATATTTTGATTACATGATTTTGAGGAATTAAGCCAACTTAATTGGTGTTTTAATGAATTAATAGTTTCTAAATAGTTATTACCTTGTCTTAAATATAACTGTTTATAAACTATTCTCAACCCATTCTTATTGGATGATATCTGACGGAGCCCTATCAGACATAAGAATGACGATCATGTAATGGTATTCAAACGTTTTTCTTGAATGAATTCTTTCATAATCTATGCTTCGGGAAGACGAGTTATACTGCAACATTAGTTAGAAGTAGGTAGGCAAATAATTCGTACCAACTTTTGATAGGTTATAGTTAGTTAAGTTCAATGAAATATCTTTCTTTAAAACCAAATTAAATGAATGTTATTGAGTTTAATTCATATAATATATAAATTGTTGAAATCTTAAGGTTGAACAATTGACCGTAGTAGGAGCATCGTGGTAAAGTCAATCCCTAAGTATCTCTACCCTTGATCTTTTCTTTTACTTTATTTATTTTCTGTTTATATTATTGCACCACAATAAATCAAATATTATTTCTTAATTAAAATAGAAATTAATTGAAGACTCAATAAACCACCGCAGTCCTTAAGGTTCGACACCCTCACATAGCCCTATCCTACAAGGATTCGTTCTATTGCGAATGATATTTTATTATCGATAAATAAAAACACACATCAAGACCTACACGACTTCAGTTATTCTCAAAAAGGAGAAAAGCGAGGAGGAGGAGCCTGAAGCGGATCCCAATGAAGGAGATTTCAGAGTATCCATGAAAGAGGGTACTAAATCTTAAAGATGAATGATAGCGTGAGGTTGATCTTATTTCCTAGTAGTATAGTGAATATATTAGTAGAATTGGTATTGATCAATCTACTTATAGTTAAACTTTCTTATCATCTCTAAAAAAAAGATATATAAGAAGTACTCTTTAGGAGTTTGGAGATCTGATGGATTTCTTATCAAACAAAATATATGATTGCATATCACATTCAGGAGAACATTAGTATTACGTTGTGACGTTCTAATTTGCTTTATAACGCCACGTTAAACAGTCCACATTTCGCATATAAGGAGGATGAGGGTTAAGTCCTTGGTATTTCCTTAGGCAAACATATGTTACTTTTAAGTTAGGTTTAAAGGTTATGTTTCAAGGTCTGATGATTACCTACAAAACTATAAAAGGAATTGTGTGAAACAATTTTGGAAGTTGACTTCAGAGGAGATTTTTCCTAGAAAGAACGATGTCTTAAGTATGAGTATATTTTGTGCAATTGTGTTTGTCATACGTGTTTTATTTTCGTTAGCTGTTTGGGATTTTGGTATGCGGTTTAGTTGGGGACACAAGTATGTGATAAGCCAATTACTATTTTTACACCTTGGGGTAATAACATTATTTTTACGCTAGGATATGAGTATGTGGTTATAGTATTTGGTAGATATAAATAATTCTAACCAATCTATTAGACCTGGACATGCGTCATTATGGTATGTTGTTTGGAATGGGATAGTAAAACCATCACTATGAGTCAAATAATATAATATGATTCGTTTGATATAATTTACGCTAGGTATGGATTTATATTATATTATAACGCCATGATAAGACGGTTGATAATGTTTCTGTATTTATGAGGTTGTAGTAAATAAAGATCACTGTAACGCCACGATGATTTATCAAAGGTGCCAGATTTGCTGAACATCTTCTTGGAAATTCCAGAAGTTGTTACCAAGTCGGAAGGAGGATTTCATGCTGGTTTAGGTACCTAGTAGAATGACGCTAAATGAGGATAGTAGACTGAATAAATCTTCATCAGTTAATTCTTAATCAAGAATTTATTCATGAGGGTGTGTCATTAAGAAGAGTTGTTGGTGTTTCACATGGAGGAGGAAACCAAGTCTCTCACTTACATAAATAATATGAAATTTTTCTAAAAGGTCACAATTCGTAACAATTAGTTGTTGCTAGGAAATTGATGACTTGTTGAATGGATGGAAAAGTTCTATATTCTTTTTAAACTTAGACGAGAAATCGAATTGATACCAACTTTTGTTAAAAAAACAGTTCTCCAATGGTCAGTTGTCACCATTATGCTCTTGATCTTCGTAGAGAATGGAAATGACTTCCTGAGCAGTAGGCTTCAATGGATCAGAAATGGCTACAACTCCCGTCCGTCCCCATCTATAGCTACAAGAATTCCTGTCTAAGCTGACTATTCAGCATCCTAATGCTAATCTTAATCACAAATCACTCAATTAGAAAATTTTGTATTTATTAAATAAATAAATTTTTTTGGTTATTTTGTGATGAAATTGCTTACACATTTAAGAGGAGTTCATATCATATACTACTAGTAATATTATTACAAAGTAGTAACCAAGTTTTATTAGTCTAAAATAAAAAACGAAGGCTATGGATCATTCATTATAAACAAGTACAATGACACTGAGAAAATTAAATGGTACAAAGACATGGGCCCGGAGGGTCAAAAATCCCACCAAAAAAATCAAACTAGAACAACCCCTTCATTAACATAAAATACAAACTATTTACCCAAAAATTAAAAAAAAATTCATGATCAAATAAAGTTAATGAACACTTTGAGATTACATATTGAATCAAGTGGACTAAATTAGAAACTTAAACAAGTATTTAAAAATTAATTATTTTATTAAATTTAGAGATAATAAAATTCAAAATGAACACAACACAAAGTTAGCACATTTAAATTGACCTTAAACACGATGCAATTCATAAACAAGAATGGGGTATCCTATTATAAACTTAATCATAGTTTGGAGATAGGAACAGTTAATCATTTTAATTAAATACAAACATCTCTCATTTACTCACACTCATTTAAAACTAAAAATAAATACATTGTACTATACCATACCTGACCACAGAAAGATGGGTTTCCGGATAAGAGTACAGGATAGACCCATAAATTTGGCAGGGCGACCTTAGCACACTACCATTAATGGCTGACTCCACTCTACACACACCAAAGCAGGCAAGCTTCAAAACCCACAGAGAGAGAACGATGAAGCTAAAAGTTTATGTTTATCGAATGTCCCAACCGTCTCGTGCAATTCTCTTATTCTGCAAGTAATCTTTGCTCACTCACATATATATTTTTTTTTGTTGAATTGTAAATATTACGTTGGAATTGATTTTACTTCATCTGTGGCTTCAAATGTTTCTTTTTTTTTTTCCTTTTTTTTTTCAATAAATTTTGGGCTGATTTGTGTGAAGTTTTTTGGTTTTAGGGTAAATGGAATTGATTTTGAGGAGATCAAAATAGATCTTTTCAAGCGTCAACATTTAACCCCTGAATTTGCGGGTGAGTCCTTGAATTTTTGTGTAATGAGTGCGTATGTCAGTTTATGGTTATATAAGCTTGCTTATATATATATATATATATATTTATGTATTGCTCCATAATTTTGGAGCTTTGAGTATATATACTTGTGAAGATATGTGGTACTGGTACCTTACTGATTTGATATCAAAGAACTTGAGATTAAAATACTATATGTTGTTGATGTTGTGGGGCTTATTTTGATCAGTAAAAATTGATCCAGGCAGTGTTAGAATAAGAGAGCTATAGAAAACTAAAACCCCATTTTCACAATATTCAGATCACCGGGAAAAAAAAAATAAATAAATAAAAAGACTCGGACTGAAATTTCTTTATTATGTTGTTCTCCTCAGGTAAACGCGGTTTATTAGGTTATGATGGCTTCTCTTAGGATATTATATTATCTGCAGGCTGCAGCCACGGTACTGACCATACTCAATCAACTAACAATTATGAACGATTAGCTAGGAACTAAATTGCAAGAAAAGAAGAAAAATAGTTGCAGGGATATGCAGAAAATGGAGTTGGGTGTATTTCGATAACACAATACCTTTTACAACGTTTTTTTTTTTTTTCCTAAATAATACCTTTTACAACTTTGACACATAAATAGTGACAAGCAAAAGGACATGAAAAAGAAATCAGTATATTATCACACTTCTCTATAGTGGCATGAAATGGTAGAGCTTTGAAGTCTACACAACTTAAGATTTTGCACAGCATTGTCAAAACTTGTGCTCCCTTAATGTGTATACAGCATATTATATTGCATATTACATTATTGCTAAGACATGATAATGAAAACTCCATGTTCTTTATGCCATTCTTCTGATAGTGTCAGGGACAGACCCAGACGGGGGGGGGGGGGGGGATATGCCCCCCTGAATTTTTAATATTTTCATTTTATACCCTAATGTTTTTAAAATTTATGAAAATGCCTCCCCTAAAATTACAATTCGCCCCCACTGGATTCTTTTTTTTAGCATTTTATACTTCAAATTTTGATAATTTATGAAGATGCCCCACTATAATTATAATTTTCCCCACTGATTTTTTTTTTTTTCGTTTTATACTTAATTTTTTTTAAAATTTATGAAAAAAACCCTATTAAAATTACAAAAATGAACCCATCATATAATTTTGTACCCGCAAATTAAATATTCGCCCCCCCTCACCAAATTTTCTGGGTCCGTCACTGGATAGTGTAGTTGCATAAAGTTATTATGTATTTTGGGTGACTAAAGAAGAAAATTTTGAAGTGTTTCTTATTGACAACCAATAACACGTTGTTATTGTATCTAAGGAGTTACTGCAATGAGTATTTCTTTTTCCTATTATGATTTCAGAAGTAAATCCTATGAGACAAGTTCCGGCTATAGTCGATGGCAGATTTAAGCTATTTGAGAGGTACATGTAGAATTTATTTATTTATTTATTTTTATTTTTTTTCTAGTTATGGATTATCAACTATTGTTTGTCAGTGCCTCAATGATGTTAAAGTGTATGCCGTGGGCATTTGTGTGCATCAATATTGATGCTTGAATGGTTCATGATTCATTTTATCTCGCAGTTTTTGTTGTTTGACTTATATTCTTTGGTTTTATTAAGATAAATTGCTTTCGATTCTACTTTTTTGGTAATCATTTGATTTACATTCAACACAATTTCTGAAGCACCAAAACAGGTGAGATGCAAAAATATATACTGATTGAGGACCAGTAGATGATCATCCTACTCAATAAAATTTGAGTGAAAAACATCATCATGATTTGACAAATTTGGACTTTTTATGGCATTTTTATGGGGACTATATAATCCTCCTTATATGTTCAAATACATTCTAAGCAGATTTTTGTTTAACTACCTAAATGCATTGACTCTGATGAATCCAGTGTTCTTAAGCTCCATGGTAGTGCAACTGGTAAACATTTAGTTGCGGAGTACCTAATACAGGGTTGCTTCGCAAAGCAATCAGTATATATTAGATGGTAATACTCGCTGTGATTAGTTTGGAAGTTTCGTAGAAATATTCTAGGTGGGAAATCTTGGATTTAATTCATGTATGCAAACCATATTTGATAGAAACAAGTGCTTACAGAGGTCTATTAGGTTTTGAACCTGTTGGCACCAAAACTTGGCAGCCACTTCAGCAGCGACGTGGACTAATGGGAAGCAGATAAGTGTTAAGCATGTCCAAGAATGGTCGGCCAATGGAGAAATAGTAAGAGAAGATTTAGGAAGATATCTATATATTCAGCCACCTCACCAAAAGGGTTGTTACTAACCAACCGAAACTTGTGTTATTTTTAAAAGGAAATTTCATTAGAAATAGAACAATGGGAGAAGTTGGCTAAGGTGACATAATTAAGTTCCTATAAAATAGGGATTTAGTTATGAGAAAGGAAATTGAATCCTTATGGAAATGAAATTCAAAAGGAAGGGGCAGCCACGTGAGTGTATGGGTTAAGGCTATAAATGGTCTTCCAGCCATTTAAGGGAAATATTTCAGTCAAGCTTGAAGAAAGAAATTGCTAAAAATCAGCAACTTACTAGCAATCTTCCAGCAGCTTTCTACCGACTTCTTAGCAATCAATATTTTCTTCAACAAAGGTATTTTATTTGAAGCAAGACGAAATAAGAGGAGAAGAGACGTGAAAGACTACTGGAGTACGACCTATTTTCAGTAACAAAGTAAAGCAAATTAAGGAAAAAAGAGATTTCAGTAAAGACTTTCCCATTGAAACTGGAGCATCGATATTGAAGGCGAGGAATGTTGGGTCGTAGCTCAGTTTGAATTTCAAAAGAAAATGATTGAAGCAAGAGAGATTTTAGCAAGAAATAATTAGAAATTAGTTGGTTTTAGAAATTCTATAAATAGAAGTATTGTATTCCATTTCTAAGGGGTCCAGCACCACCACAAAACATGCATTTCAACTAAAAATGTTTTCAATTGACTCTACGTCATTTTCCTATCAATTTCTTTATTTCAATTTAATGGCAATTGATTAGATCCTCGTCAACTATTTCGATTCAGCCATTTATTTTCTTTCAATTTCAATTATGCCAATTTTAATTACGCAATTTTAGTTAGGCTTTCAATTCAATGGCAATTGATTAAATTCTTGCCATTGAATCGTAGTGACAATTGATTAAATTCTTGTCATTACTTGGCTGATGGCAATTGATTAAATTCTTGCTATCACGTTTCGGTGGCGATCAATTAAATTCTTGCCATTGTGTTTGGCTGGTGGCGATTGATTAAGTTCTCGCCATCACGTTCGGCCGGCGATCGATTAAGTTCTTTCCGCCTGTCTTCACTCGGCCATTCCATCCATTCAAACATTCATCAGCCGTTGCATTTCTTTAGACACTCTAAAAAGTTCTTGCTACAAACAAGGCATAAAAGAACCTTGCTGGGAGTTCTTACTAGTCTCTCTCCCACACAATCGCCTGAGAGTCAGCCATCGGAAAAAGGGATAGGCTGGTGTTCAATTACATATTTTGGGTATTTTGTACAAATACTCTGGTACGCCCGCGAAGAGTCCATCGACCGGCTTAGGGAACAAAAACCGCGCGAACACGTTTTGGCACGCCCGGTGGGACCACTACTAGAGTGTTATAAAAGAGGCAAATATGCCGCGGCCCACAAAAAATTCTAAGGCTGTGGCTACTGATGAAGATTTGGAGGAAGACGATCAGCCAGTACAGGCTGAGAACTCTACAGCAGGTCCTACTGATGAGTTAGCCGTACTTCAAGCACAGGTTAGCTCCTTGGTAGATGCAATGGGAAGGATGGGAGCACGCTACAACGAATTGCATGAAAATATGTCCCAACTCTCAGCCTTTATTTTGAACAAGTCGACTCAAGCTAGCAGCTCCAATAATCAGGAATCGGCTTCTCAGCCGAATCTATCACAAGCTGCTCGGCCAGATAGGGCCATTGAAACATCACAGCCATGGCCGCCAGTAGTGACACTCCAACCAGGTGCAACATCAAGTCAGCCGGTTCATACGCTACTCACCTGGGCAGAAAGCTATCCTCAGTCTACGTTGGTAGGTTCTAATCAGCCACCAGTAGCAGGTTCGCGGCCACAGGTAATTCCACCAAACCTTCCTCGGATGCCTTTGAACTCGGGGGGCAATCAGATCAGGTGGAGGCCACCGAACCCACTGTATACTCATGTGCCGCCACAGGTAGGGCTCGAGGGGCAGAATATGGCTAATCAGCCACATTATTGGCCGAATTGCTATCAACCAGCGGCTAATCAGCCGCCAGTTTTTAATCAGGTACCACCAATATTAAATCAGCCACCTCAAGTCATGTTAGATAGAAGACAATTAGCTAATTTACTCACAGAAGAATATGGTCTGGAACTTAGAGGTGCCGGCCGACCAATTTATATAACTCCTTATCCAGAAGTGGTAGACCAAGTTGAGTTCCCTAGAGGATATAAAGTCCCTGACTTTGTAACCTTTAGTGGAGAGGGGAATCAATCGACCGTGGAACACATTGGCCGATTCACGGTTCAATGTGGAGAGGCCAATGTTAGCCCGTGGTTGAAATTAAGACTTTTTCCTAACTCTTTGACAGGGGCAGCTTTTTCATGGTATATTCGTCTACCTCCTAACTCTGTTTTTAATTGGCCACATATGGAGGAATTATTCCACAATCAGTTCTACCATACGGAGACAGAACTTACTCTGGCCGATTTATCCAGGCTAAGTCAATTGCCTAGTGAATCGGTCGAGACATTCATTGCAAGATTTAAGAGAGCAAGATTAAGACGTCGTGTACCTCTTCCAGAACAGGAGTACATTCGTTTGGCTTTGAACGGCCTAGATTTTGAACTTCAGAAGAGGTTTGAAGGAGTTCCATTTCGTGACATGTATAACCTGGCCGAGAAAGCTACCAGGTATGAGTTGGTTCTCAAAGAGGAGAAAGAACGAAAAAATTCCTCTAAAGGTACATACTATAGGGACCCCAACTATGAAGTTTATTCAACTGATGTGGTTAAAGAGGAAGATTTTGAAGCTAATTTAGTTGAAGTCAATCTAAAGAAGCCTTATATATGTGACGCTTTAACAAAACCAAATGTATCCACCAGTGGTACTCAGCCATCGACTTCATCGGCCAGGAAGGGTACGGCTGATACTGGTAAGGTTTATACGTTTGATCTGGCCAAAACAGAACAAATTTTTGATCATTTGTTGGCCGACAAACAAATCGTTTTGCCAAAAGGACACAATATACCATCAACCAATGATTTAAAAGGAAGAGAGTTCTGCAAATTTCATAATTCATGGAATCATACTACTAACAATTGTTATGTATTTAGAAATGTATTGCAGAAATCTATCGATAAAGGTGTATTGAAATTCCCTGAAAAGAAGCCAGATGTAATGGGGGTCGATGGCGATCCATTTCCTAATATTGTCAGTACCAATGTAATCAGTCTGGCAACTGAAAAAGCCGCTGATAATGGTAGACAGGAAAGATTACCAAAAGTTCTTGGTAGTTCATCGGCCAGTAATGATGAGCAGAAAGTTAAGGACTTGGAAATTCAGTTAAGAGAAGCTCAAATTGCCCTCATCAACCATGGTTGTTGTCCAAATTGCAAAGGCCGAAGGAATGACTCAGACAAGAGGGGCTATTTCCAATCAACCAGATAGCGCAGTGTCCATGAAAGGTTAGGCCATCAGCCTAGATAGAATCACGAAGAAATCAATCGATCAATATTTAGAGAAAATGGGCCGAGGGCAGTGAGAATCATTCGGTCATCGGTGGCCGATAGAGTCCTGCCAGAACAACATTTTTATCCTAGTTTCAAAAGGAAACCAATAATTCAGTCAGAAATATGGGTTCAAAAAGGAGAAGAATCTAGCCGTGTAAGAACGGTTAGACCTCCTTTGGTTGACCATGGCAGATGGACTCGAGTAAGTCACCCAAAGTTTCCTAAGCAACCTCCTACACGTACTCAAAAAAGGAGGATGCAAAGGAAAAATGCAGAACTCAAAAGGAAAAAAGACAAGATCGACCATGATCAACTAGAAAGAAAAAATGAACCAGTGGTGGCTGAAGACATGGAGGTCGCTACATCCTTTGAGAATAAGGCATGCTTTTATGAAGAAAAAAATGATCAGCCAGACCAGGATCCAAAGCATGCGGCCAAGTACAGAATTCGTTTTGGTTCTCTCCCGGATGAGGTAAATTGTAACATGGTATTTGTTTTGCCTTCTGTGTTTGAAGCAAGGATAGAACCAACGATGAACAGGGATGTTGAGTCAGCCAAGCAGGAGGAAAAGGCTGAATCTTCAGAAATTAAGAACGATTCGACAAGTTAATCGGCCGGGATAGGATTGATCTCTCAGGATCAGCCATCTAAGGCCGATAAAATCATTTTCGAAAA